TTGCATCGATGCTAGTGACGCGCCCAACTCTTCAATCTGTTTCTTCAACTTCGAGCGGTCCGGTGAGGCTTCGCGTGAACCTGCCGGTTGTCCTGCTCGACCATCTCCTGGTCGTGACCCTCCTTCGCTCGTCAGTTTCCAACATTGATTGCGATAGTGGCCAACTTGGCCGCATTCAAAACATGTAGGTGGYGCCCTTCTACGGGTTTCTCTAGACGATTCCCCTCGCTCCCGTTGTGTGTCGTGCCGCTCCTCTTRGTAGTAGTCGCGTTCCCCACCTCGTTGTCCGTCCCTCCATTCTTCACGTCGTCCCTCACGACGATCATCTCTCCGGTCTCTGTCGTAACCACGGTAAGCCATCGCGCCCGAATTCGCTTGGTCARTACTTCAKTGAACTCCGTTCGMTGTTCAAACTTCGAAACAAGTCTGCTCTTSATTGCTTCAATATCRTAACTAGTAATCATGTCCAGAAGGACAGCATGCTCACTCAAGCTCGGGCAAACGTATCCAACCAGGTTCACATGTGCGGTCAGAGGTATGAAAAAGAGTGAAGTGACGGATGATGAAAAACATACACGTCACAAACCAATACAACGACAAACCCCGAAGTTGCCAAGTATCGATGTATTCAAATCAAATCAACAAAAACAACACATATGCCGGTGGGTATGGCTACCCCGACCGGTTTCGACTGCCACCACGCGGTCGTCTTCAGGGAGCTTTCACCACCTCAGCTTCTCCCTCACACTTAGTCCTTCGTTCCACACTCCCCCGCGGTCGCGTCCACTTCCGGACATTTTCGGAAATGCCGGAGTGTCAGCGACGTAGGACCCGGAAAAGACCGACAAACTACCGCCTATTGTTGATATAGACCCAGTCTCGCGACCGCTATCAGGAAAACGGTCCGGAGCAGTGCCCCAGGGGCAATGAAGATAGCCTACCTGCTGACCCTGTTCCTGTTCAAATTCGAGACCCTTAGCCTGAAAACGTTGTCATAACTTGACAAAACACACCACACCACACCATGCAGTTAACCGCACACACAAACCATGCAGTAGTGCTCCAAACTGCAGGTAGAACTCGACACCAAATATCGATATCATCCCAAGGAAAAACTTGTTCAGTTTAGGTATCTGCATAACATAGTTTGTTTTCATAATTATTTGAGGATTTTTTTTCTATCTTTTTTTCATTTTTTTCCTTTTTTTTTTTTTTTTTTTTTTTGGCATTCGAGCATAAACAAACTGCCCGGGGAGCGACCGGTTGTCCGAGCGGACAACCTCGGACGGTCAGGGGGTTCCTGGATATCCGATCAGGTAACCTAGCAAAAAATGCAACAAATACTGCAAGTATCTAGCTACACAACGACATCAGCAAGAAATCACGATAATGCAAAACCTCGTGGATGCAAAACAGAAGCAAATTTTGCAAGCGCAGGAACCAAGCACCCCTGAATTACAAACCCATATACTAGACTTGAAGACCCAATTTTTGAAGCACGCAAAGTATCGATGGCAGGGAGCCCATACAAGGGCAAGACTATCCAGATTGTCTACTTAAGGAGCGATGAATTTCCACTTCTTCTGCCTATCTAGAACACGTTTCAAAAGGACCACGATCGAGGCATTCTACGGACTGAAAGCTAGGGAATCGGTCCCAAGCGTGACCATTGCTCGATGCACTAAGATAACATATGATTTTTATAAAGACCTATTCTCCTCGCATGTGGATAAGTCAAATACACCATACTACGATCGTCAATTAAAAAAARWWTTGGAACCGGTCAACAAAACATTGACATCTAAACAGCGCGAATCCTTAGAGGCCCCACTCTCCAAACAGAAGATATGGACAATTGAAGGAGGAGAAGGTACCTAGGATTGATGGTTTCACTAAGGAATTTGGAAAAACACATGGGATTTTTTAAGCCATGACGTTATGGACTTCTATGAAGAAGTATGGCTTACAGGTGGGATGGGTGAAAAGGTGGGGCAAGGGATATTGACCCTCCTATATAAAAAAAGGGACAAAATAGATATTAGAAATTACCGCCTAATCACACTTCTTACAGTAGTATGCAAGATGTTGTCTAAAGCCTTAGCTAACAGAATGATCCCTGAAATGGAAGGCATCGTTTACCTCTCCCAAACCGGCTTCATAGAGAACAGGAATATACGAGAGAACATTTTGTTAATCTATGAGGTACTCCAACTCACGAGGCGCTCCCGTCATAATGCAACTTGGTTTTTATCGACTTCGGAAAGGCCTACGACCATGTGGACTGGCTGTTTCTAGAAAGACGCCTGGAAAAAATAAATTGTGGGCTAGATTTCTAATACTGGATACAAATCCTACACCACAATGCAGCCACATGCGTCCAAGTCAACGGATGCCTGGCACCGCCCCTACGCCCTATGGGCTATGTATCACCCGCGGTCATGACCGCAAGCTTTTTGGCCGCATGCAGTCATGATCATGCCCACGCGGGCCAACCGCTGAGGCCAAGTGCAGTCAAAAAAACCCGACATTTTTAATTCCTAGCATAATAGGCCAAATAAATATATATGCATACAGGGTCACCAGCCCGTACGTACGGAGGTCCCCGGGCCGACCTCCGTACGTACGGGTGTTGGGGGTCCCGTACGGGGTCCGAACCCCACGGCGTTCGGCACCCGCCAAAAATTATTTCGTGTCCTAAAAATAATTTTTTTTTCTGAATTTTTTTTTGTGAGTTCTCTATGACGTGAGGTACCTGTCTAAACATTTTCAAGTCATTTGGCTCAGCCACATAGGAATTAAAAATCGCCAAAGATGGCGGTGTCAAAACGTGCTCGCCCACAGTTTGTTTCACTTTTTACTTTTTGTTTTCACTTTAGTTCAGGGTCTTCACAATTTTATTATTTTTGGAAACTTTTTTAGTGAGTTTTGCATGATGTGAAGTACACACCTGTAAATTTTCAGGGCATTTAACTCTGCCAAAAAAAAATTAAAAATTGCCAAAGATGGCGGCGTCGAAAACGTGCTCGTGCACTCACTACATGTGATTATTTTTTTGTTTTTTTTTATGTTTATTATTAGTATTTGTTTTTAGTATTTTATTTTTATTTCAAATTTGGTAAGGAATTTGGATGTTATTCTCAGGCAAATCTTGTTTAATGTATTTTTCTCCATAACATACCTTTTTTCAGATTTTTTTAATGATTTGTTTTTTTTTTTTTTCTTTTTTTTTTTGGGTCCTCGTGCAGCCCGAATGGCCGAACGCATCCCCAAGGGGTCATATACGTTCGGGCGTTTGGGTTCGGGCGTTCGGCCCGTTTCGAACGCCGGTTACCGTGTATACATATATATATATATATAAATCTATAGATTTATATATGTATATGTACATATATATGGGGTTGTGGGGTTTCAAAAATCGTACCTCTCTATAATTTTTGTTTTGTTTTTTGATGTTCTTAATTATTTTTTTAAAATAGAAAATAAAAAAAATAAAGCATTAAAATCAAAAGAAACATAATAAAAAAAAGGGGGAACTTTTTTTTTCCGTTTATTTCGAATTCTCGGTGAGATAATTACGGTGCACATGATTCTTTGATTCATTTTTTTCCCTACATATGCAAATATAAAACGAACAAATAATATATATATATATATAATGAAGAAAAACAACAAAGTCATTTTTTTTTCTTTTTTCCTTTTTTTTTTCATTTTTGATAGACAAACAAACTAATTGATTGATTGATTGATTAGAAAGAAAAAAAATGAATGCATTAGTTTTTGTGTGTGTGTGTATGTGTCTGTCCGCCGGGGTGCGTGCGTGTGTGTGTGTGCATGAGTGGGTGCCTGTGTGTGTGTGTCCTCACGTGTGTGTG